CCGTGATTCCTGGCACGAAGAAAGAGTGTATCCAGCTGTACATGACTTCCTGGAATTCTACACTCCTCCTTGAATCAACCGCAAGGGCCGATTCACCTCACCTCACTCTTCTTGAGTGATTCAGACAGTATTGACAAACTGCCTTGGGCTTGATATTGAAGGCTCTTCGCAGTCCATGACAGTCTTGATCCTTGTGAACACACTCGCCACCTCCTGAAACATAAACATAATCCCCAGGATCAAGGACAATCACAGGATCAGTCTGCACAGAGGAAGAAACTTTCCTAGTTGGGCCGACCCTAGGTTCCCAGTCTGGTTCCTTGAAACCCAACCCTTGATGTTCGCAAGGCCCTTGAAGTCTAGCTGGGTTCCGATGGTCCGCTGTTGCAGTGCATCCTGTTGCCTCACGTTCGGCTTGATGCGCTGCTTTAGTCTCAGTGCTTACCACAGGCGGTGGCACAGGTGGGACATGCATGTTGATCCCACCATACACAACTGTAGGCGTAGAACCACTTGACGCACTTGAGTCGGGACACTTGTTCCGATTCCTGCGGGGCTTGGGACGCTGCTCGTCCCCGGTAGGGCTTTCGCTCAAAGCCGCATCTATGGCTGCAGCTACTCGGCCTTGAAGTCTCTTCGCTCGCCGTTCTGATAGAACGCTAACAGCTCTCACTTGAGGCTCGTCCTGACGACGACGCCTGCACGAAGCACCAGCCGTTTCCCACAGAAACAACGTAGACAAGATTATCAAGACAGTTAGCAATGCCAACTCCCACGGCCATTCAATGCGAACACTGCCACTCTCAGTTTCATCGGCATCTGGTTCTCCACAGCAGCCACAAATCTGCAACCACGCCAACACCGTAGCCAACGAGGGAGGAGCTGCTCCTACCGATCGCACTGCAGGCAACTCCTCGGCCCCTGGCAAGGCATCTCCTTGCAGTTGCAGAAGTCCACACAAGAACTGCATACGGGCTGAGGGCAAAATCTTTGTTAAAAGATCTGCCTTCTGCATCTCACCTGGGCAGTGAGTCACCTTCCAGCCCGACTGGATCAGCTGCCTAACCTTATACCCCCTTACTTTAAGGTGTCGCGTTCGCTGACTTCCAGCCCCATTCACAAAGGCTATCGCGGCTGTATTGTCAAGGCATAGCTCCGCAGTCGTGCAATGTAGCCCCAAATCTGACAAAATTGTCATAAGCGACTCTGCATACATGCACCCCTCCACGGACTGTATGAGTTCTGCTTCCGAGGAGCTCAAAGCTATGAGTTGCTGTTTGGATGCCTTCCAGAGAACTGGTACACCCTTGACTTCCACCACGTGCCCCCCGTAGGAGTGTTGCCCCAACGGGGCAAACGATGCGTCGGTGTAGACCCGCAGGGGAGCTACACCTTCAACAGGCTTCAGGTGCAGCTTGAAGTCCTTTGTGTTGTGGAGGTAGTACAGGATGCGTCTCCCTATCGCGATGGCCCCATGCGGATCCTTCGACACCTTTGAACACAACACTGTTGTTGCGAATGCTATGTCAAAGCGCGTCCGCTGTGACAACCATAGACACTCTCCAGCCACCTTTTGAGCTGCTTTCACATCACCTTCATCGAACGGCTGAACTTGGGCTGCTTCCTGCATCAAGATCTCCTTTGGACACACAACTTTCGCTCGATGGGTCTCACCGAGTTGGTAGGTTCTCACCAACTCGTCCACGTAGGCTTCTTGATCGAGACTGTAATGCCCATCTTCATGGCCTTGAAGCTGCATCCCCAAAAACCGCACTGGGTCGCCTCGCTTAGCCCATCAGTCTCCCAACCTGCCCCATCAAGTAGCCACTGATGCAACCCCACCGCAACTTGCCTTTCACTCACGATCAGAAAGTCGTCCACGTAGGTCACCAGGTAGCCTTTCAGAGCAGTTCCTTGCATGATCCTCCACACTGAAGAATCTGACTTGGCCTGCTCCAGATGATGCCCTGCAAACTTCGCTCCTCGAAGCTTTGCGTCTCGGTGGTCAGACCACCAAGCAGGTGCTTCTTTGAAACCGTAGAGCACCATTCCAAGCGAGTAGTGTTCGCCTGGCTCTGCCAAGCCTAAGTCCACCAGCCAGCGTGGGGGACGCAGCAAGTAGCGTCGCGCTGCATGCGCCGGTATAGGCGTCTGGGTAAAAGCGGATTTGATGTCAGTTGTGAAGGCTGACCACTTGTGGCAAAATGCCTCGGTAAGGGCCACTCGCACAACCTCGGCGGGTGCTCCCGCTGCATACAGAGAATCTGCATCCACATGTGTTGCTTGGTTGCCGCAGCCCACCAGCCTACACTTACGTTTGTAGAACCCGTCATCTGGACCTCCAGGGGCCTTTGCTGTGAATACACCCTTCAACGAAATGACGGTGGTTTCGGGGTGCGAAACCAGTTCCTTCGCTTCTTGCCCAAAGTGACTGATCAGCACACCTTGCTTCTTGAGAGCACCAAGCTCCTTCTCAATGGCCGGTCTCCACTTTTCAAGGTGGGCACGCACCTCCTCCTGAGATGCGGTATGCGTCACGCTCAAGGGTTCTCGCAATTGTCCGAGCAACCCTTCTAAATCCTTGGTTGTTGTGGCTTCCGCCTTGCATGCAGACGCTTCAACCTCAACGCTCGACACGGGTTGTTCGGGTACGACCCTGATGAATGCCGGATTGGGAAGAGGAATCGGAAGCCTCACTGGCGCCCTTTGATCCTTTAGCGCTCCTGCTCCCAGCCTCACTGCACGAACTTCTGGCGGTGGTGGCACAGGGGGTTCAAGAACTGGCCTGAGCTCCTCCTGGGGCTGCTCCTCCTGAGGTGGACGTCTGGCTTCCACACGCAGGATCACCATTTCGAGAACATCTCGGATCACATCATGCACCGAAAACATGAGCATGCGATCGGGGAACGGAGACTCTTCCGTGGGCCCGTCATCTGCAAAGTCCATGACACGTGCAAGTAGACGTGGCTCACCGTCAGCTCCTGGCACAACGACCTCTGGATTTCTGTTCCAGTTTCTTTGTCGAAACACCGTTTGCATGAAGAGATGGTGCGGAATTGATGCCGACAACGCATTCATGTTAGGATCCTCATCCTGACCCCCAAGGACACGTTGCCACCGCCCCATCCTTCGCTCAAACTCTTCTTCTTCCAACTGGCAGAGCTCCGCCCATTCCTCACCGGTCATCCTTGCATACCTCACCATCATTGCCGTTCTGCCTGGGGGTGGCGGATAAGGTCTAGCACGGATACCAGGCAACCTAGTAGGGCAAGGTCCGACCAACTTACACACCGCAGGAGGGCGATCCAGGGAAGGTAACCTAAACCCAAGCTCTATCAGCTGGTGCTGCTTGAAAGAGGAAAGCTTCTTGTATCCCAGTGGCGTGTACCCTGCAATAACCCAATTCGTAGCCGGCAACACTGCATGTCGACACTTGGGATCAAACACAGTGGTGGCTTGGGTCAAAGGCAACAAGTACCCTTTGTGACTGCGTCCTTTACTGTCTTGCTGTACCAATTCCGTAAGCATGGGCGACGTTCCTTCAACCCACATCAGGCGCGTGGTCAGCTGCGTCACATGATTCAAGGAACCAGGTTCATTTCTCACATCACGATGCATGGCAACCTCATCGGCAACAACAACCATGAGTGATGACCACTCATTTGCTGCGAGCTGGTTGGGAGAACACTGGCGCAAGTACTCATTCAGGTATCGGCACACCATGGGGTACATGCGACTAGCCCTGGTTATCCCTTGTAAGCCACCATGACTGTAAGCACCGAAGATAACCGAAAACCCTATCGGACCACGATGCTCACGACGCGTTCCTCCTCCAACTCCTTCAAACGCTAGCTGAAGCAGACGGCCACAGTGATCAGAAGAAAACAGCATTCCCTTCAACAGGGTTTCGGCATAATCCTCTGCCGCAAGTTTGACAGAACGTGCCGCTCTCTTACCAGTAACACGTCGGCTTGGTGCCACCGGTGAGTCCCCTTGAAAGTGATCGAAGCCAGGCTCCGGGGGATCCACTTCCACCACCTGTTCAGCTCCGAACTCAGCTTCGGGATCCACCATTTCATCCACACACCGAACGTTCTTGGCAACAAGATAGGCGCTTGAAGCTGCACGGAGAAGCACATGTCCACCCTCCGTGCGAGGAGTTGGACACAGATACACAGCATTCTCCCAACGCAAGAAAGGTCTCTTGGACTTACCAGTAGGATGCTTGCTCTTGAAAATCACCTTCTGGCCAAACCTCGGCAGCCTTTCTCCAGTTTGCAACAACCGGCCTCTGTGCTCAGCACAAGCAAACGCCATTGCTGAGGGCCATTGCTCTAGGCCCAAGCCCGAGGACGCTAAATGCAACCTTGCCCTGGCCTTAACCCAACCCACTAGTCTTTCTGCTAAACCATTCGACTTCGGATCATCACCCTGGGTGAATGACGGCTGAATGAGGTTGGACTGAAGCCAATCCATGGTAGCCTTGGACATGAGTTCCTTGGCCCGGTCGGTATGAACAACCTTCACCGGGTAGCCTAGGCGATTGCACTCGGTGACAATTTCCTGCAGGCCTGCAAGGATCAGCGGACCCTTTCTTGCCTTCAAAGGCACTGCAAACCTCAATACCTTGTTGGCACCTGAGAACAGCATCTCTGAGAGGGCTTCATCAAACTTCTCATCTGTCATTTCACCAAAACCCCCACCATCTTCCCAAGGATCAACGTCCAAGCCGGCACCGCCTTCTACCTCAAGCTCATCATCTGCTTCAACAACAGCCTCTGCGCCGGAAAGTTCTGCCTCATCCACAAACGGGGCTTCATACCAGCCTACCTGTGAGCCGTCTTCCTCCTCCTGAGATGACGAGTCGCCTTCATCGACCTTCTTCACAGCTGGCGTCGGCTCTAGCTGATCTCGCAACCAACTAGCTTCCGATGCTGCGTCGTCATCTTGCTCTGGGCCTTTAAAAACCTCAGCCTGAGCCTCTGAGGCCTGCTGTTCGCTCGCTGTTGCGCCTTTGTTGTGCCTTGGCGAAGGCAACGCAGCATCTGGAACCCGGAGGCCAGCTACAAGTACATACTTGTATTTCCCACCACGGTCATCTCGGCCTAGTTCTTTGAATGGTCCCGCTAAATCGAAGGCTAGGGCATACATGGTGGGGCATTTGACACGTCGATGCTGCAGCCCCAACGACCCTGACATCACACACTGTAGGCAGTCCTTCCTAAACGGAATGTGATGAGCAGCAATGTGCTTACGCCACCGATCACGCTCAGCCTCTGTCATGCGCGAAGCTGCTCCTGTATTCTTCACCTTGGCACCTCCCTTTGCACCTGAAGAGGGGGATGATACCTGAGCGCCTACACCTTCGCCGCTATCAACACGCCGTCCTTCATCCACTCCTCCTGAGGCTATCAGCTCAGGTGGGTCTCTGTGGAGACCTTCCGAAGATCCTTCGCCTTGCTGTTCTGCATGCACAGACTGAACTCCTGGCTCGGGAGGTTTGGACGACACTGGACCTGAAGGTCTACTAGGATCCGACAACAGGTATGAACCCTCTGCCTCAACAACCTTCACAGACACTGGCTCCTCCTCAGTCTGTTGAGGTCCTGCCAATCCGAACAAGGCCAAGCTCAGTTCGCCTTTGAAGATGTTGGGCCACGTGGGGTCCAGAGGCACTCCTTCAACGCGATGCATCACAGGTAGGGATTGCACTCCTGTGGAGGAGAAACCCAAATTGGTGCACACCTGAAAGGGCTTTGTTTGCCTGATTCCTTCATGCACGCCTTGAACCACAAACTCGTTACTATTGCTCCACGTAGCAAAGGGGGCAACTACACCCTGAATCCACGGTTCTGATCCAGACTGTCCCTGTAATGCACTTGATTGGCAAAACGGAATCCCCTCCCCCCTTGCAATTGAGGATAGAGTCCATAGCCACATAGGCATCACTCCCAAGAGAGTGTCATCCTCAACCTTGGTTTGCAAGCTGCCCGGGAGGCCTGGCTCGCCCCAAGGGTGCATCTTGCTGCGAAGCCTCACAGACGACGAAGCATCCGTCTGCACAGTGCCCCACGTTCTCATTGGAGCGTCACCGACGATAGCCAAAACGCGACCTGAAAATGCAGCCCATGATAATGCCTTCCATGCGCGGGGCTCGAGTAGACCATTGCTGGTCCCGTCAAGAACAACCAACTCCAAACCCTGACTTTGGCACAGCTGCTTCAAAGACGGATCCACCTTGTTTGCACCCAGGTGCAGCACCCATGCATGAGACTGGTGCAACCTCTTCCTGCACCTTCGGTTGAACGGCAAACCCTTGATCGCCCCCCAACCATTCACATCCTTCAAATCCACAACCAACCGGCTTGACACGCTGTGCGGTAACGGACGCAGGAATGGCACGAACTGCGAAAACGCAACTGCCGAGCCGTAGCTTCCGCTGGTGACAAAGGCGTCCAGAGCGTCCTCAAAACACACTCCGGTGGCTGCACGCAATTGTGCTTGCACTCTTTTAAGCCTCCCGGTCAGCTCTTGTAGCTTGGAACTTTCCAGCTCTCGTATCAACTGAAGGGCCTGCTCCCGTCCTAGCTGAGGGCATCCACTCTTCAGGCTCGTTTTGAGTCGCCCCAAACGTGGGTGGATGAGGTGCAATCCTGACTTGCGTGACCATCGCACCGAGCACCCCAACTGTTCAACGAGGCTGCCGAGAGGGAGAATAGTTTGCGACACTCCGCCTTCTCGGTTAATGGGTGCTACCAGCGAACCCCCAGGGGTTTGATGCCAAGTTTGGCGTTGGTCTCCAGCAAGCGACACAGTGCACGGGACGAGCTCAGATTTTTCTACCGCTGATGCATCAAGAACCGCATGCGTGGCTCCCGAATCAAGCAAAGCAGTTGGCTCATCCTGCACAGAGTCTCTGCAGGAGATCGCCCTGATATGCGGACCTCCCTCGAGGACACGAGACTCCAGGCTCTCAAGTTGCGCTTGTATCTTGGCAGCAGCTGCGATGGGGGAATCCTCAGTGGACCTTGGTTCGCCTCCAATCGCAGATGATGAACGATTTGGCTGCTCGCTCTGACCTGCTGCTGGGAGATCACCTTGTGATGCCTGTGATGAAAGCACTTCCCTTAAAACCCCGGCTGCTTCAGAAAGGACCTTCTTGAGTCCAGGGTCCTGGGCCTTGGACTTCGGCTGTGCCTCTGCCTTAGCAGCCTTGGCTGAGCTCGCTCCGTCATCGCGCTTCGCAACCGCTCCTCCTGAGCCGTTGGGGCACCCATCCTTACGATGACCCTTACGCCCACACGCCATGCAGCGCTCAGCGCGCTCGGGCTTGGGAATCTGATTCCAATCGTGCAAGAATCTGCAATCCCTTCCACGCTTGCAACCCTTCCCTTCATGATACCACTTGCACAGCTTCTTTGGGGAGTCGGCGCTACCTGGAGACGCAGGCGGTTTTCCTCCCTTTGGGTCTTTTTGAGCCTGACCGGAGTCCATATGGCCCTGAGGCCTGGCTTCAACCTGTCTCACTCCCTTGTTGGCCTCTGGCTTCAAACTCCCTGTGACCCCTGCTTGCCCATCAGACACCCTGGACACTGCCTCCAGTTCCGTGAGGAGGTGCTCATAGTACTCTCCAACCTTCGACGACGTGGGTTGTGTGTCCAGATGAAGAGAAGCACGCACAAGGTTGATCCTGAACGACAGTCCTGGCATCGATTTCAACACATTGGCCGTAATCGCCTCGAGCGCCTGGACGCTCAATGCGGCATCTGGAGGGGCTCCTCCCAAGTCCGAGAGCCTTGTCATCCATCTCTTCCATGTCCTCAAACGAAGAACTGCGTCGATGGCCGAATCTGCGGGCCTTGGGTGTTGGACCTGGCGTAAGGCTTCTGATCGCTCTGCCACACCTCCGGGTTTATACACCACATGCAGCCTGCAAAGGATACCCATCACCCCACTAATGCGAGCCGCAGAAAGTTCAGACTTCACTGCATCCGGGCAGCTCTGAATGATCAAATGCTCCATACGGTGCCTTACACGCGACCATCGAGGATCTCTGTCGATGCTTGATGTGGGAACCTTCAAGCGCACTCGGTTGATGGGGTTTGCAGGTACGAACTGGTTGTTGTACCACTCACGAGCCTCCTGCAACACCTTGTCCCAACACTCACCCGACGAATCTGAAAGGTCACTCATCGAGGGCTTAACCGCATGTAACCAATCTGAAAACCCCAACGCTCCCTCCAATGTTGGAGCTGGAAGCTTCACAAGCTCTGTCACACCCGGCCGAACAACTTCTGGATTGCCACTTGAACCTCCCGAGCTTCCTCCATGTTTGGAAGCCGCCAAATCGGCGACCACATTCTGCAGCTGCACAATTCCTGACAACATAGCCTCAAACGGATTCCTTGGAGCCTCGACTCCACGAACATTGCCGCCCTCTGTATGGCCTGCGCCTGTGCGCCTTGAGCTGCCGGATTACTGGCGCCTGCACCCGGGGCTGAAGCTATGCCTGCATCTGCGCCGTGGACTGCCACGTTACCTGCGCCTGTGCCTGGGACAATTGGACTGCCTGCACCGACGCCTTGGGTAGACGTATTGCCTGCACCTACGCCTTGGCCTGTAGTGTAGCCTGCGCCTGTGCCTTGGGCAAATGTGCTGCCTGCACCTACGCCTTGGGCTAAAGTATAGCCTGCGCCTGTGCCTTGGGCATAAGGGTTACCTGCACTGACACCTTGGGCCACTGCATAGCCTGTGCCTGTGCCTTGGGCAAATGTGTTGTCTGCACCTATGCCTTGAGGCCCTACGCCACCTGCGCCTGTGCCTTGGCCAACTACGTTGCTTGCACCTGCGCCTTGAAATGCTGCAAAGCCTGCGCCTGTGCCTGGGGCTGAAGTTGATGGCAAATGCTGCTTAGGGTAACCCGTGCTTCCTAAGGGGTTAACTAAACCAAACTGGGTCTGGGGTTGATTGGCAGCGGGCAGGATAGGCAGAGCTGACTGCATTGATCCTTGCATAGGCGTCGAACCTTGACCAGCACTACCTGTGAGGGAAGGATTCTGAGGAGGCGGTGGAGCTGCAAAGGAACCTGAGGTCACTGCCCATCCTTCAGGGATGCCAAG